CGGCTATTTTTTGGTTGCAGCCGTCATTGTTGTTTGGTGGGTCCGGGCTGGGGATTCGAACCCGCCACCTTAGGTGTACATGGCTGGTGCCTTAGCCGATTGAGCTATAGGAGCCGAGCCTACACCTGTAATTTTTTAACTTTTTGCCCCACTTCCATCTCCTACAAGTTCCTCTTCTTAGTTTTGCTTTTGGTCTCCATCATTTGCTGGAGAACTTTGCTCCAATCTCCGAGTTGACCAGATCTCTGCCAGGGTGGAACAGGACAGGTGCCCAGCAGCTCAAGGTCTGGAGTGAGCCTGGGTCTCTTAGTTTCTGAAACAACACCCCACCAATCCCCCAAATGTTACCCCTATGTTTAGAAGAACCCAATTTCTGAGACTTTTAGGAAATAAAGGGTGAACTGGGCATGTTTTTAGCTCTCCCCATCACCAGCTTGAGATTCAGCTTCCTAGAATGTGCAACATCAGATACCACTCAGCCACCTGCTTCTCAACCTCCAAACTGTTCTCAGTTCTCTTCTCCCCTCTCTCCATTTTCAACAGAAATCCCACTGTCTTCAGTTTAGGGTGGTTTCGGGAAAAGTTTAGGGAAAAGTTAGACGCCTATGCCCAGTCTGTTATGTCCACCTGGGAGCGCCCTGTGCGACCCCTCTGTCTGCCTTCCAGTTCTCCAACCTTCGTGAGGATAAGAAACACCAGGAGATGATGGGGTGTATCGAGAAGGACAACCTTCTCCTCCGGCAGGTGATGACTGGGAAGGATGGGAGGGCGAGGCTGGAGTCATCACAGCTGAGTTGGGGCCCACTTAGCCCAGGCAGATCCCACTTGGCCAGTGAGTCCCAGGGTCACGGGGCCACACAGAGGGCTTTTTGCAGCTGTGGCTATGTCCACACTGGACTGGAGGGACCCAGTGAGAGCTCCAGAGCATCTTTTAGGAAAAAGGTGGTGGGAACCATGTGGCATCAGGTCAGGCCTGTGTCTCCCTGGCTCTCCCCAGCGGGTGTCAGAGTTGGAAGGTGAGCTCAGGAAGCAGGACAACGTCATTTCCGAGCTGGAGGCCAGGGTCAGCCAGCTGCAGACCCAGGTTGAGCAGGATGAGAACAGCCTGCAGAGGTGGAAGCGGCTGCAGGAGGACCAGCAGAGCAGGATGGAGGCGGTGCGGCAGGAGGAGCAGCTGACCCACGTGGCCCTGGAGAGCGCCCAGGCCAGGGTATGCCCGGCTGCCTTCTCCTGAGGGAGCTGCCCCCCACCCCGGTTTTCCATCTCCCAGCACTCTGTGGAGTTGACGCTCAAGAAATGTGGACAGGGAGGGAGCGAGGGTTGCAATGAAGACCCCTGAAACAGGAGGGGCCCCTGTGCATGGTGGGCAGCCTTGTTTATGGGAGAGGCAGTGGTCCTGGGCTATGCAGGGGTGAGAGAATTTGGAGGAAAGGGAAGAGGCACCTGGGCAGGTGGGAGCATAATGGTGACGTCCCCCAGCCTGTGACCGCAGAGCGCTGGCTGAGGCCGGCACTGCACTGAGCCTTTTATTGATATTAAAGTCGCTTAATCCTTTCCATACACTGTGAAGTAGTTATTATTATTATCCTCACTTTACAGACAAGCAGGAGAGGATAGATAACCCACCTGAGGCCCCAGACCTGCTCTGAGATACTGCTGGGTGTGCACCCAGCAGTGTTTATGGCCCAGGCACGGGGCTCGGGGATGTGGGGGAGAGTGGGATGTGGGGGAGTGGTGGATGGGGCCGTGCCAGCAGGGAGAGTCACTGAAGAACACACCTTGATTTAGAGCCCCAGAGTGAGCCCGTGTTGCAGCTTTAGAAATGACATTGCCACCCCGCCAGGGACGCAAACTGTAACCCCCTGTGTCCTCTTTCCTGTTTAATCCGGCCTCCTGGCTGGTTCAGAGAGGGTCACTGAGGCCCCTGCACCCGCATCTCTTACAACACTGTGCTTCCAATGTAACCGTAGCTCGAGCCCAAAGGGCACAGAAGTATCATTTTATTGCCAACTTCCATTGCTTTGGTAGAGCCCGGGATGCTGTGCTGAGGATTCTGAGGGTTTCAGCATGACACAGAGCCAGGACCAGTGGGGAAGGACCCTACAAGGGTGGGGAATTGAGGGTGGACACCCCAGGTGACAACTGCCCCTCACCTAGGGGCAGAACTCCCCATTAGAGGGACTGAGCCCCTCATCCCCTTGGTGCCTCCAGGGCCTAGCACAGAGTGGGGATCCATAAATACCGGAAAGAAAGGACCTGACTCCTCACTTAGGCCCAGGGGCTGGTAACTTTCCAGCACTGTTCCTGACACCTGTAGGAGAGATAAACAGAAGTGCTGGCACCTCCAGGGCAATGCCGCGTCTCCACAGTCTGGCTCGCAGTTGGCACCTCTGAATCTCAGGGTTTCTGGATGTTGGGGGGCTGAGGAGCTGGTACTGAGCCTGTCACAGTAACTTGTGGGCCCCTATCTGAGGCTTCTGGGGCACAGGTTGAAGGAGTTTTCTCTGCACTTTCCTGGGAAATAGTTTCCTCTGGGGAGGTGAGCTGTGGCCGTGGACATCTACAAGGATGTTTATGGCAGCAAAGGATCGGGAAACACAAAGCCTCATCCTGATGTCCACAGCCTGGCAGCCTCCTAGTCAGTAAGAAAAGGAGGGGCCCCGAGTCGAATACTGAGAACCAATGCAAGGGACAGATACAGCCCAGAGGGCCAACCCTCCCCTGCAGAGTGTGACTCAAGGGCCAGGAACAGTCTGTTCACTGAAGTTCCTCTGGGAGGGAAGAACAGCCTGAGGGGCATAAGCTCTTTTATTTATTTATTTATTTATTTATTTAGTTTTTGAGACAGAGTCTCACTATGTCACCCTTGGTAGAGTGTCATGGCGTCACAGCTCACAGCAACCTCAAACTCTTGGGCTTAAGTGAATCTCTTGCCTCAGCCTTCCAAGTAGCTGGGACTACAGGTGCCCACCACAATGCCCAGCTATTTTTTTTGTTGAAGTTGTCATTGTAGTTTTGTTAGCAGGCCCGAACTGGGCTCAAACTCGCCAGATACGGTCTATGTGGTTGGTGCCGTAACCACTGAGCTACGGGCACACAGGCAGCCCGTATGTGCTTTTATTGTTGAAGTATGTGCAGGTTTTACTTTCCCAATTTTTTTTTTTTTTTTTTTTTTTTTTAGAGACAGAGTCTCACTTCATCACCCTCGGTAGAGTGCTGTGGCGTCACAGTTCACAGCAACCTCCAACTCCTGGGCTTAGGCGATTCTCTTGCCTCAGCCTCCTAAGTAGCTGGGACTATAGGCACCCACCACAATGCCCAGCTATTACTTTCCCAATTTTAAAAAACAAAACAGAACAGTTGATGAGGTAGTGATGCTAGGCCACTTGAGTTTGGGTTTCGATCTGGCACCTTCTAGCTCTCAGACAGACCATGCTGACCTCTCTGACTCTAAAGCCCCCCAAGTGTGGGTAAGCTGTACCTTCTTGGCCTGTGAAACTTAAATACCACAGTAGGAGGCTGCACCCCACGTTGCAGGGGCTTTTCTCTGGCAAAGACAAGTGACAGTGTCTTCCCTTTGCTTGCAGCTTGAAAGACTAAGGAGTAAGATCATCCAGGCCACATTTAGCATCTCTGGGGCCAAGTCCTTGACCAGCGAGATCACTGATAATGACATCCTGGAAGCTCTGCAGGTACAGATTGGCCCAGTGGCCTCCACTTCATAGACCTGCAGCTGGGACGGGGGGTGGGGAAGGCCTGGTTTGGGTTCAGGGGACCCTACTCTCATTCTGGCCATGTCTCCCTTTCACTGGGACCACTAGGAACATCCTTTCTCTCTGCCCAGGCAGAGGGGACCAGACCAACCCCTGAGTGTGCCCCAAACTGGCCAGTCTGGGCTGCTGTTCAGCTCAGCAAAGGAGGGGTCAGGGCCATGAGGTGACTGCAGTAGCCCAAGGAGCCCTTTCTGAACGTCCTGGGGAGGGGACAGCTGCTTGGGTCTTAGAGATTCTCCCACCATAGGAGCTTGGCTCCTAGCTTTGGCCAGCTTAATCCCTCTGAATTGTCCCCTGCCAAGCCAGGGCCCTGACACAAACCCCTCCCTTCTTAGCCTCAGTCTCATCCCTGGCCATGGGTCCCCAGACAGAGGCCTCAGAGGGGCAGGATGCTGTAGGAGAGATAATGCAGGCTTTGTGGTCATGGGGCAGGAGTGAGTCACCACCCACCACCCCTGGGCAGCAAAGCTGGGGGCCCCACACTCGTTGCTCTCAGCCCTGATGTTTCCCTCTGTAACAGAGGACAGCCCTGGCCAGGTGCCCTGGGACCTAGAGCTCTCTGTGGGGCCATGCACCACAGCTGCTTCTGTTCCCAAGACCCAAACCTCCGCCAGTGGGACTGCTCTTAGACCCAGTGTGTGCCATGACTCCCCAGGACCTGCTCTGTGGAGTGGGCTGGGCCCTGGCCCAGAGGCCCCTGACTAGGGGGTCACAGCAGGGGACATGTTTGCTGCCCTGGTTCTCCTGGGGAAGGTAGGGAAGGGAGAGAGGAGAAAAGGGAATACAGAAAGGCAGGGGGTGCCCCCCCCCCCACAGCCTTCATCTTTTCCCATTGCCTGGCATGAAACAGCAACAGGTTATTCAGAGGAGCCTTGGGGAGACTGGGAGAGGGGTGGGGACAACCTTCCCTCTGCATAGGAAAGAAAGGACTTGAGGGACAGATGTGACAACCTCAGAGGTCTCTAGGAGTCTGGAGTGACCTCACCATTCTAAGAGGACAGAAGAACCCTGCTCAGTGCGGGCTGCAGTGACTCCACCTCCGGGTGGGAATATTTATACCACAGAAACTGGCAAATGCTACACAGCAGAGCTCTTGTTGCTCCTTCCCCCCAAGAGCCAGCTGTAAACATTTACCAGCGCAGCACTGCCACAGGGACCCCTTCTGGGGAGGACGGGTGGTGACCTGGGTACCCAACCTGGCTGGGCAGACCCGCCTCAAGGTCCAGTGAGGAGCTGGGCAGATCCCCATGGCAGCTGCGTCTCTCGTCCAGCTGATCATCACAGAGAGAACCGACTACTACAACCAGCTGAAGCAGAAAGGCGTCAAAGTACCCCCCCTGCACCAGACGGAGATCACCTTACCCACCAAGTTGAAGAAGGGGACCTCCAAGTAGGCCCAGCCAGGGCTCCAGCCCAGAATCCTGCCTGCCACGTGTTCTGCCCTCTGACTCAGGATTAAACCTGGCCTTGGCACAGTCCCACCTTTTTCTTCCCTGGGGCTCACACAAGGGATTAATCTTCTGCAGCCTTGGGGTGGGGAGTTAGCACACCAGCTTGCCCCCCCCCCAGCTCCTTTCTGGGGAGACCTCATAGGATGAGTGTCCCCTCCCCTCACTGGGTTGCAGGAGGCCAGAGATGGCATGTTCACCATGCTGGCTCAGACCCGACACCTGTCTGTCTTCGCTGCCAGCTCCACACACCTAGGAGCTGGCAGGGGGCCTGTGACCACCTGCCATGGGGTCTCCCCTGGCTGGAGACTCTCTTGCTGGGTAGGATCAGTTTGGAAGGTGGGTAGGGAAAGTCTGTTCCAATTCATCTGCTCCTGGAAGGAAAGCCCCGCGGGAGAGGACTCGTGTCTGTGGTCACTGACGTTTCTCCAGTGCCCACGACAGGCACACTGTGGGCTCTGGGCACACGAGAATGTGCTGAAGGGCGTAAGCTGTCATCTTCATCTTTCCCGATTTTCATCCCCCCTGGGCGGGCACTGTCCTCACAGCGCCCAACGCCCAGCTTGGGTCACGCACGTGTAGGTGGCCCGCCGAGCCCCCTGGGAGCACATCGTCTGGTGCTTGGTTCCGGGAGGCAGCCTCGGTCCCTGTGCTCCGAGCAGAAGGCCGGGGTAGGGGGGGTAGCTGAGCCCCCGTGTGTCTTGGGTACAGACCCAGAAGCGCCCAGATCCTCCCGGAGCCTCGTCTGTGGGGAAGACGGTCGCCGGGCGGGGACCGTGGAGAGCTCCAGGGCCGCTGCGAAGCAGCACCCTCCTCACGACCCACAAGCCCCACCAGCCCGCCACCCGCAGCTCCCAGCCAGCAGCCGGTCACCGCCACCTAGGGCTGGGAATCTGTTACTCCGCCCCTCCCTCCCTACCTCACTCCTCTCCCCTTCCTGGCTCTGCACGTCCCCGCCCCTTTCGGCTTCGCTCCGCCCATCCCCGCCCACTCGGGACTGGCCACGCCCCCAGCCGGGCCCGGAGACGAGTCTGCGCAGCGGCCGGGGGCGGGGGTGCAGGTGAACTGCGCTGGGTCTGGGGCACCTTCCTTGCGTGGCGGGAGGGAGGAGGTGGTCTGGGCGTCGTATCTCTGGTTATCGCGAGGTCAGGGCTTGCCCCAGGCCGACCCCGACCTAACGCGACGGGGCTGCCAGGATCACAACTGCTCATCCAGCTCCGGGATCACTTTCTCTTCCCGGACTGTGGCAGGGCGATTCCTCTCTTCACTTTTTTTTGAAAGAAGTTTTTAAGACCTGAGGCATCTGCCACACCTCAGACCCCGACCTGCCAGGCCGGGAGTAGGTGAGGTCCTCCCTCTGGCCGGCCCTGACCGTCTTCCTGGGCCCTGGAGGCTTCAGCCACCACGCAGGAATCTCCCTGGTAAGTGTGCGAAGCTTGGAGGTGCTTGGCGGGGGTGGGGGTGGGGGCGAGTGGTCATGTGTGAGCCCAGAACTTCCGGCGCTGACACTCCCCAGGAGGTCTTAGGACAGCGGAGGCTCCCAGGGCTTGGAGGGTGTCTGGCGATTCTGCTGCCACACCTGAGCTGGTCAGGTGGGTGCTGGACAGATGACTGAGCCTGCTGTAGGCACCTCAACTGCTCTGGAGGCTTTATCTGCCAGGATGGCTTGAGAGCTCATTTTTTATATCAGTCAGGAAGCCACTGTCCCAGGCTAGAGCAAATTGGGGTTGACTCCTCACATGGAGAAGCCCACAGGTGCACAGCTGCTGGCTGGATTTGGAGACTCAGCATTATTATTATTATTTGAGACAGAGTCTCACTATGTCACCCTCAGTAGAGTGCTGTGGCATCACAGCTACAGCCAGCTCTAACTCCTGGGCTTAAGCAATTCTCTTGCCTCAGCCTCCCAAGTAGCTGGCAGTACAGGTACCTGCCACAACACTCGGCTATTTATTATTGCTGTGGTTGTCATTGTTTAGCAGGCCTGGGCTGGATTTGAACCCTCCAGCTCTGGTGTAAGTGGCTGGCGCCCTAGCCTCTGAGCTACAGGCGCCGAGCCTAGAGACTCAGTATCACTGTGGCTAATGTTGCTTTGGGCTACAAGGTGGCTGCTGTGGCTCCAGCCATCATGTCAACAGGAAGGAGGTAGCCCCTGTTTCCTTCATGGAAGCAAAAGCTGCCGTGTCCCCACACTGCATCTCAGCTCTTTGCCCACAGCTGGGTGGGTGACCTGAGAAAGCGGGGACTGAGGGTATTTAGAGTCAGGTCATAGCTGTTACCTGTGGCTGGCATATTGCAGCTGGGACAAGATTGGGATTCTGCCCACCAGGAGGGAGGGAGAACCTTGGGTGGGCAGTGGCTGAGCTGGCCAAAGTCATCTGGGGCACACACTGGGAAGCAGCGCCTGGCTCCTCCTCCCCTGCTGGCCTGGGGTTTGGAAAAGGGCAAACACAGCATGTCTGGACTTTTAGAACTGCTGGGGCCCTGAGTGGGGCCTGAGTTTGGGGCTGGCTTCTCGCAGATGTGTAGCCTGTGGTGCCTTTAAGTCTCTGTGTGCAGGATTACTCAGGAGAAGGGTCAGCCTTCCAGCGCTGCAGGGTGTGGGGGCAAAGTCTCTGTTGGAAGTGTGGGGCCTGCTGCCTGCCTGAGCATACTCACTGCTGGGGCCAGATGCTGTGAGGGCATCCTGGGGCCCGGCACACTGGAGACCCAACCCTAATCCTGTAGCCTGGGTGGAGGTCAGGTTGTAACATAAGTTGAGGGCAAATGAGACCCTTAGCGTGGAACACCGGCATTGGCCTGCTGGCAGCAGCAGTGGGACGCGTGGTGGTGGCGTTATTGCTCTTTGGGCCCTCACTTCAGCCCCCATTCTCTGTTGCCTGGCACAGTGCTCAGTGGGTTGGAGCCCAGCAGGGAGTTGGCTCTCCTTCTGCTCCAGGCACCCCCAGCGCCCACTGCCCTCCTGAGTCCCTGGATCCTCTACCCCCAGGGGCCCAGCACTCAGCATAGGGTGCCCCCCCCCTCCCCAGCACCCAGGCAGCAGGTGGGGGAGGGGTTGCAACTCACTTAAGCTGAGGACACAGCTGCTGGGCTGCCAGGGCCAGCCGGGCCTCTTCCCTGGACAGGGACCAATTTGGTCTGGCCGTACCAGCCGCTGCCCCCGGGCTGCTGCCCTGCCCTGCCCTGCCCTGCAGACTCCCTGGGGGTTGAGGAGGAACTTATCAGGGAACATAGCTGAATAGAGCTGGAGGCTGCCCTGATAAATGCACAGGGAGTGGAGGCCTTGAGGGGTGGGAAGGCCCCCAGGAGGCCTCTCACTCCTGAGGTCAGGGCTGAGTCACCTTTCAGCCTTGCTGGTTTGGAATTCCTCCTTGGGCTGGTCTTACTGGTGTGACCCTGGCCAAGTTCCTTCACTACTCCCTGTCACCTGGTAAGTCAGATGGAAACCAAGTGGGTGAGAACCCCTTTGTCAATGGAAAAGAAGCCGTACTCTGTAAAATAATTTATAGATGGCCAGGCACAGTGGCTCACACTTGTAATCCTAGCACACAGGGAGGCCAAGGTCGCTTGAGCTCAGGAGTTCAAGACCAGCCTGAGCAAGACCGAGATCTCGTCTCTACTAAGATAGAAAAAAATTGGCTCTGCACCTGTTGCTTAGTGGGTAGGGCGCTGGCCACATTGAGGCTGGTGGTCGAACCCGGCCTGGGCCAGCTAAACAACAATGACAACTGCAACAAAAAAATAGCCAGGCATTGTGGCAGGCACCTGTAGTCACAGCTACTTGGGAGGCTGAAGCAAGAGAATCATGTAAGCCCAAGAGTTTGAGGTTGCTGTGAGCTGTGAATGCCACAGCACCCTACTGAGGGCGACATAGTGAGACTCTGTCTCAAAAAAAAAAAAAAAAGAAAAATCTAGTTGGGTTTTGTGGCAGGCACCTGTAGTCCCAGCTCCTTGGGAAGCTGGGGAAGGAGGGTGGCTTGAGCCCAAGTGTTTGAGGTTGCTGTGAGCTGTGATAATGCCATGACACTCTAGCCTGGGCAACAAAGTGAGACTCTCAAAAAATAATAATAATTTAAAGAGGTTTATTCTGAGCCTAATCTGAGGACCAGGATACAGAGCCTTATCCAATAAGCCTTGAGCATGAGGACTGTCTGTGGTGGGCTTTCATTTTGGTTTTGTACATTTCAGGAAGACCGAATTATAGGTAAAGTCATAAATCTATACAAGGAAGGCATACGTTGGTTTGGTCGAAAAAGGTGGGACATCTCAAAGCAGGAGCCCACAGGTTGTAAAGTTATAGGTGGGTTTGAAAATTCTTTGGCTGACAGTGGCTGAAAGAGTTAGGGTCTGTCTAGTAGACCAGAAGTTAGTGAAAAGGAATGCCCAGTTAAGGGACTGTTAATCAGAGACAAACTAAGGACCTGTGCCCAGACCCAAGTGGTTTGTCATGTATATTGAGAACCTGCAGGTGTGTCTTCCAGAGCCTTAGGCCTGTTAAAGAGTCACAGAGGACATCTCTAAGGAGAGAAGGGGACCTGATGAGGTTTGTCTGATCTCCTTTCTCACAGCCAGCAACTCAGTTCTAGGGATCCCCCTTGGCCAAGAGGGGTCCAGTCAGTCAGCCACTGGGGGGAGCCTTAAGATTTTATTTCAGTTAACACCTGAGTGCTCTGTCCCTCCCTCGGCTGACTCTGTCCCTGAGGGGCTGTGTTTTGCAGTGAAGTTAGAGCCCGACACCTGCCTGGGTCTCCCCACTGTGAAGGCTTTGCCCCTCCCGCTGCAGCCTGGCACCATGCAGTCCCCAGAGAGCGGTGTGCAGTACAGCAGGTGGGACGACAGCAGCCGGGATGAAGTCAGCGTGGCGGCCGTGTCCAGCACAGAGGAGGCCTCGTGTTGCCAGAGGTGAGGGGCTTGGGAGGAGAAGCCCGCCTGGTCCCAGCAGGCCAGTCACTCCCTGCACAGATGCCTGCCTTGTCCCTGCTACGAGCATCATCTGCCCACTCCAGCTGGGCTGGATGCCCATGGATGGGTGCCCAGTTTTGCTGTCTCAGCAAAACTTCCCTCTGGCTGGCTCTTCCCTCTGGGGCTATGGTCTCACACCCCCAGCAGAACACCAACCCACCTTTGCCCATGCTCCTCTTCCTGACCCTATGGCTGCCTGCCCTTGGGGCCCACCTGCATTCTCTCTGACCTGGCCTAACCCCCCATAGTCCACTGAGGGGGCTCTTCCTTCACCCTGACCCAGGGCTCACCACCAGATGGTTCTCCCCCTAGGATCTCCCGGAAGCTGTGCAGGGGCAAGCTGGGGATCGCCATGAAGGTGCTGGGCGGAGTGGTCCTCTTCTGGGTCATCTTCATCCTGGGCTACGTCACTGGCTACTACGTGCACAAGTGCAAATAAGGGCACTAGTAGGTGCTCTTGGGGCTGGCTGCATGCGTGGGGGGGGGGCCTGTATACAGGGACCCCCTGCATACACCCTGCCTGTAATACAGACCCCCATAGATGCAGGGCCCCCATACACACAGACCCCCATACACACCGACCCCATCGTATATCCACGGGCCCTGGAGGCAGACAGCTTACAGGGCATGCGAGGACCCCAGGGGCACAGCTGTTCCAGGCCTGATAGGAGGCAGCACATGAGTCTGAAGGATCCAGAGACAAACACCTGGCATGGCTGCCGCCCAGAGGTGGGTGTGGCTGGGGAGGGAGACAGGCCAGCATCGCAGGAGCTGCAGGACACACACCCGGGATACACCAGGTGGCCAGTCTCCCCAAGCCCAGGGCCCAGGCGCTTTCTTTGTCAAGGCCGGGATGAGGGGTGCCTTCTGCAGACAACCCAAGCCTACCTTCCATGGCGGCCTCCGACCATGGGTCCTGCTGTTGTCCTCCTGTATGGGCACTGTGCGGAGCCGTGTGGGCTGGTCAGGCCTCTGCCCTCTCTGAGCCTTCTGACTCTGGTTGTGCAAGGATGGCTCCAGCAAGTGCTGTGTTCCCATCCACCTTGCCCTGGAGGCTGAGACCAGCACTGGGAGGTGCTTCCTGTACAGAGTGAGGTGGGAGCCTGGGCCTTGGTCTCACACCCACCAGCAGGGCTTCCCGAGTGAGGCAGGCATGGTGCTTGCTGGGCTGGGTGTGTCCCCTTGGGCTGGCCCTTGCTAGGAGGACCCTGGTCTTTCCCCCATCCCCAGGTGCTGTCTGCAGGCCATGCACAGGGCATCATTAAACATCTGCTGGGTGGCTGTGGCCGGTGTTACTCTCAGACCTGTGGATGGGCCTGGTGCTCTGGGGCAGTCCTCCTGGTCTGGCTCTCAGCCTTGGAACTCACCCCCTCTTGGCTGTGCCTTCTGCGAGGACAGGGGCAGGGCCTGAGGGCCAGGATTCGGCTAGACCTCTGGGGCTGGCCACACTGGCTGGCTCTGGACCTTCAGTCCCATCTCCCTGGTCACTTGTCCTGACCTCTGTACTCTCAGCAGACATTCTCCTGGGCACACACTTGGCCATTGCCTATTACAGTCCACCCCAGGCCCTGCAGACCCCTGCCAGAACATCCCCTTGGGGAAGTGGTCCTCACCCCAATGCTGGGGGGTGAGAGACATGGGCAGCCAGTGTCCTCACAGGCACGGAGAAGGAAGGCCAGGTGAGACTTGCCAGAAAGCTGAGGCTGTGCTCACCCCAGGTGGGCGCTTTCCAAGTGCCCCTCACTATAGTGAGGGATGTAAATGGAGGGGCTTTGCCAGGCTGGGCAGGGGACAGAGGCACCACCCTATCACCTTTAGGGAGAGCGGGCCAACCCAAGTCTGCCTGGGGTCAGGAGGTGGCACATGGGCCGCACACCTGTCTCCCCAGTGCCTTGACTGGGACCCCTGACTGGGTCCCCTCTGGCTGGGACCAAAGAAGGGGGCCAGGAGGCCTGGTCTGGTCTGGGGTCTTCAAGCAATGGTCCTTTGGAGGCTGCTGCAGGGTCGGGGCAGTCTGCTCTAGCTGGCCCTGATCTCTGGGGTACTGCCCACCCCTGCATGGAAGTCTGGGAGGGGAGCAGCTGGAGGTCAGGCTATGAGCATGTGGCAGTCTGACTGTGTGTCCGGCCTCGTGTGAGCTCCAGCCCCAAGGCCTGGTGAGGCTCTGGCTGGGAGCCCAGCGAGGGCAGAGGACAGGGAGGAGGGGTGCCCACACCCGGCTGCAAAGGAGGGGGAATGTCCTGGGAGTTTCTCCAGCTGGTCTCTAGTGGGTGACCCTATGTGTCCTCTCTCTTCTCCACCTGGTGGGCAGAGGAGGGATGCAGGTGGCTGGGGCTGGCGCTGGAGCCTGCCTGCATTTGGCCACCACACCCTGTTCCAGCCCCATGGGGAGGCTCACCGGATGGGCACTCCTTGCCCACAGCCTCCACTGAGCTGCCCCTACAAGTGAGCCAGGACCCATCCAGACCCCACCCCTCTGGGACTAGACAGCACTCTCACAATCCAGAGGGCAGGAGAGATGGGACGGGACCCTGCCAAGTGGCTGCCTGGCCTCCCCTCCCACAGAAGATTCATGAACAGGATTTGTGGGGGGTGGGCTGGGTGCCAGGGCTCCTTTGCATGAGCCCCAACCTCAGGTGTCCACTTTGTGCTCACGTAGGGGGTCCAGTAGGGTGGGGTGGGCCTGGCCCATTCCCAGGATCCCTGGTTGAGGACACTGGCTTTTGTGACAGGTCTCTCACCTCCTGCTGGTAAGGTGTGGGCAGTGCTGCCAGGCAGGCCTCAGTTTCCCTGCTCATAATCTACCACTGGCTAGAATGGATTTCTGACACTTCCAGCAGTGCCCTCTGGAAAGAGTGGTGGGAGAGGATCTACTGGGCAAGGAGTTGAGATGTTTCCTATTTTTTTTTTCTTTTTTTTTTTTTGAGACGGAGCCTCAAGCTATCCCCCTGGGTAGAGTGCCATGGCATCATGCTCACAGCAACCTCCAACTCCTGGGCTCAAGCGAGTCTCCTGCCTCAGCCTCCCAAGTAGCTGGGACCACAGGTGCCTGCCACAACGCCTGGCCATTTTTTGGTTGCAGCCATCATTGTTTGGCGGGCCCGGGCTGGGGATTCGAACCCGCCTTAGGTATATGTGGCTGGCGCCTTAGCCGCTTGAGCCACGGGCGCCAAGCCGAGATGTTTCCTATTAAGTGTTTTTACTAGTGAGTCAGATGGGCAGGGACAGAACCTGAAGCAGGGTTCTGTGTCAGGTGACTACAGCTCTGTCAGCAGCAGAGGTGACACCTGCTGCATGGGGGCTGCTGACCCCTTACAGCCAGAGGCACTAGGAGGCTGAACCCTCCCTCCCTGAGCTGGGCTGTGGAGAAAGGGTGACCTCCCCCAGCAATTATCTGTGGCTTTCAGGCCAGAGCTGGGGCAGAGTCCCAGGCTAGGGAAGCTGCTCAAGGCTCCCAGCAGGGCAGACCCCAGGCCCACTGCAGCATCAGTGTGTGTGACTGCCCAACAGGATCATGAAATGACAAGCCAGGGCCACTGACACCCGCACACATTTATTTGGTGGGTTTAGGGGTAAACAAAACAAGAACAAGATGTCTGGCAACGTGTGGCGCTCAGCCCCTATCCCCCTCACCCTGTCTGGAGCCCCTACCTGTAGTGGGACCCATGGAAGGCCTGGTGGTGACCCCAGGCCAGGTCTTAAAAGGCTCTGGACAAACCTGGGGATTTAGGAGTCTGGTCTGATGACAGTACATGGGCAACAGGGCTCTTGCAAATGCTTCAGGACACCCTCAGACGTTTCTACAGAACACAAAATTTGTCCTTTTATAAAGGTCAGAGACCACTGAACAGAAGACACATGGTGTTAACAGAGAATGAGTTAGTGTTACGCTGCAGCCCTGTAAGGCAGGGGGCTGTGAAAGCCGCCCCCTCTGGCTGGCCAGGTCTTTTTTTCTTTTTTGAGACAGTATCACTTTGCCGCCCTTGGTAGAGTGCTGTAGTGTCACAGCTCACAGCAGCCTCCAACTCTTGGGCTTAAGTGATTCTCTTGCTTTAGTCTCCTGAGTAGCTGGGACTGTAGGCACCCGCCATAATTCCTGGCTTTTACGGCTGCTTTGTAGCTGGCTGGGCTGGGTTCAAACCAGCCACCCTTGGTATATGGGCTGGCACCCTACCCACTGAATCACAGGTGCTGCCTTGGCTAGGTCCTTCCTACCCAAGTACACTGTCTCCAGGGAAGGGTGTACACACGTGGCCAAGCACAAATGCAGGCATGAAGATGTGCACAGTGAAAACTGGAAACACCTCAAACAAAATGCTGAAGCAGCAGCCCCCTGGCATGTACACTTCAGGATTTTTGGCTTAAAAATCTACAGGTTCTCTGGTCACTGCCACTGTCTGTCCCTTGGCTGGCTGACAAGTGCTAACAGCTGACCAACAGAGCTGGCTGTCCACTCTCGAGAACCCATGCAGACCCTAGAGAGGGGCCTCTGTCATCATTGCTCAGGATTAAAAGCCCCTGTCAGTTCCCTCCCTGCTTGGCCCAGCAGCAGCACCACTGCAGAACTGGTTCTGCTGCCTTCAGACTTGGGGGCTGGCTGCCTGGGGGTTCAAAACGTCTCTGCTCCCTCAAAAGCATTCCCACAGTAGTGTTAGGAAAGTAATTCTAAAGTCACGCTAAAAAGTTTTTTGTAGAAAGATAATCATCACTGCAAGCTGGAAAACCCATTCCAGGCTGCATGCTGGACAATGTGCTCTACAAAGATGCCCTATCAAGAGATTTCCCCTTTTATGCAGTTCACAAAAGCTCAGGCTGCCCGCTTCCTGATGTGTAGCTGGATGTTCAGGCCGATCAGTCACATGGTGCTCACTGGGGACTCAGAAAGGCATCATGAGGTGATTTCATCGTCTTGTGAGCATGGCAGCGTGCACTTACTCAAACCCTGATGGTGTATTTTATTAATACACAGTTTCTCATACGGAAAACCCAATGTCCAGCACCAGTGTGACTGCCAGCCATGTCCTCAGGTAATCTACAGTGCCAATAGCGAGTGCCACGCACCAGGTCTGCACACACAGGCTGCTCCGTTTCCGCCTGACGCACACCTCAGCCAAGCAGCCTGCCATCAACAGTGCAGTGCTGTTTCTTCCTGAAGGAGCACTGCTGTCCACGCCTACATGATTCACAACAGTCTCAACAGTTAATTGTGGCATTTGGATGATACGTTTCATGAAAAACAGTAAAATCAGTTTGGTATCGCAATGACAGCACAGCATCAATTTACGACAGAATCATCTGGAAAAACAGGATAAGGAACACATAAAAAACTGCCAAGGTGAGAAAGTGATATCTCGTGTCTCCACAGAGAAACCTCCGTGGCCCAGGCACAACAGAGCTGCCTGATAAAGATCCTCCGGGCTCGTCAGCGGACAACAGTCACGTCGGGAGCAGCAGTGGCCAGGTCGGCCTTGGATGGGTACACCACTTTCAAGGTCCCCTCCAGGTCCACCACCCGGACCTGCTCCACCACCAGCAGGGGCTGCCCTTCCTTCCCAGCACTTGGATTCGTTTTAGGATCCGAAGGTTGTCCAGGAACTGCATCAGCTTCAGTATCTGAGAGGGATCCTTCCTCTTTACTTTCTAAAGTACATCTGTTCAGTTCTGCCATTTTCTGTAAATGAAAGTATCTTTTTAACCTAGGGATGGGAGGTGACCTGGGAAGATGTGTCTGTGGCCCAGTGTGGTGAGCAGGAGAGCAGGGAGAGGAGGGAGAGGTCCACCCATGTGCCTGGAGGCTGCCCAGAGGCCGCACTGCTGGGCACTCACCAGAACGAGGGCGTCCATGACGTCTTTGCATATCTGCAGACTAGTAGCACTAGTCACCTCCAGGAACAAATCAGAAGTTGTTTTCTTCATCTTAAAAGAGGAGAGCCGAGAGAGGGAGGGGGAGGGGTGGGGGTGGGGTCATGGTGTGTGACACACCTTTTGAGGGCAGGACACAATTATAAGCGGGACTTTACCTAACAAATGCAATCTTTGTAACCACAAGGAATCCCCAACAGTAAAAAAAAAATGTATTAAAAGAAAAGATTTCAGAAAAGAATGAAGTCACTGAAAGCAGAAGCCAGCAACTCTAACACTGATTCTGAAGGAAACTGGCTCAGCCTGGTGGAGAGTGAGGCTGCTCCCTGCACAGAGATGCAAATCCTGCTACCGTCAGCTACTGTGCGGCACAGGCGTGAATGGGACATGCTCCATCACACACGACAGACTTCAGTGGCGCAAGCATATCTGTTCTACACGAAATGGCCTGGAGACACCATGGCCACATGTACACCTACCTTTGTCTTCTCGCTGTTTGTTATTGGTGGGAAAGAAATCACATCACCGTCTGCGTCCACAAGGCAAGGGTAATTTTCTTTTCCATCCAGTAAGTGAAGATATCTGTGTGGAAGAAATCCAAATTAAAGGCATCACACTATAAATAACATCACTCATGGTTAAACTGGCCAGATCTCAAAGGGCTTTAGGCAACTTAAGTGTCATATCGAGGGCCCAAGTTTAATCTGCTTCAGAGAACAGAGTGTTCCCAAGCCCAGTTTGTGTAGCAGCAGTGGCCTCAGGCCAGCCCCAGGACCGACCTGTGCAGGCCCGAGACGCTCTGCCTCTTCTTCTGCTTCCGCTGCTCCTCAGCCTCCTGCTGCAGTTGCCGCACCAGGTCCTTGGCCTTGGCTTCTCTCCGCCCCAAGGGGACGATCTATGGAGCAGAAACCCACAGACTCCACTAGGGTACAGCAACCCATCCTGTCGTGGCCTCAAGCATTAATGCTCCCTGTCAACGGTGGTTCATCTCTGCGATGGGGAGGGGCCGACAACCTCCCCCACATGACTGTGTGACAGGAACTGCATGCAGGCTGTGTCTTCAGGGGTCCCGCTGTGGATCTGATGCCCAAACACTCAAATACTTCTGAAGCTGAGCTTAACTGTAACCACTGGCTTATGCACACCTCCATTTCCAGAGGTCTGTCTAGCCTGAGGAAGAGAGATAGGCTGGGCAGCCAGACCCATGAGACCCTTGGCCACCTGGCACCTCAGCGCACTGTCTGTAATATAACAGCCCAGGGTCAGCACCACAACACGACAGCTCACTAGAGTCAACCCCACATTACAGGCTTCTCAAAGTGGGGTGTAAACCAGAACATCTGACTGAAAGTCAGTGAGCAAACGAGGGAGAAGCCCCTTTCACATCACTGCTGCTGCGCTGGACGCTCTGCTAGTTACACTTGCTTTTTTTTTTT